CTTTTTACCCTAATATGGGACACTATCGATGGTTAAGAGGGCCTATCAACCATCTTCAAAGAGAACAAAGATTGGAGTATATAGCAAATACAATTCATAGCATCTTAGATTTTCTCAACATATGAATATTGCTCCTTGTAGAACTCATCCCTAAAAGGTGGAATAATTTCACGGACATACATATGTATTCTACAAAATACATATATGATTAGATAGGAATAATTAAAAGTAGATAAAAGTAAGTTAATTTCATAATACCTTCTAATGAAGCTTTCTAAAAGCTTCATAGATGATATTTTGACTTTACATATATTTGTAGTTGATTGGTAGGTTAAAAACTTGGTCAATAAATTAACCACATGTTTGGTAGCTTGCAAAACAAGTTAACTATATAGTGCATATATAGAAAACTTGTCTTGTAAGTTAAGATACGTATCTTGCAAAGTCAACATGTTTTGGAGGTCCTATAGGACATAGCCACATAATTCTTAGTTAAGAGTTTATATAGAGACAAGAGTGAAGCCTTCTTCACTCTTGTGGATGCCTTTCTAGTCTTTAGTCTTGTTTCAAGACTTTTTAGTCTTCTTGTTTTTGGCAATAGCCATTCTAGTTTAATATTACATCACCTTTTAAGTGACTCTAATTCTCTTCAATGACACAAGAATGTATTGAGGATTTTCTTTCTTTGAAATTCATATCCTTGACATTAATTTATTTTTACATATTTCTATTTAATCATATACATAATTATTAGAGTAAATATGTATATCCGTGATATTATCCACTTTTATAGGAATGAATTCTATGAGGAGTAGTTATTATATGTTGAAAATTTTTAAGATACAGCAAATTGTATTTGTTACATATTTTGATCTTTGTTCTCTTTGGAGATGGTTGATAGGTCCTCTCAATCATTCATTGTGTCCTATATCAAGGTAAGAAATCCACCATGTTATTTGAGCATTGTTAAAGCCTTCATAATTTTTTCAAATAAAACATTTGAAATATTGTTAAGAGTCATTTTACCTCTAATAAAATCACTAAATATTAAAAGTCTCTTTTAAGATTTAATATCAAATACATTGTATCTTGTTATCTATTCAAAGAAGAATATGTCATTCTTAAAGATCTTCATCTTGATTATATCATCTTAAAGATTATAATAATTATAATAATAAATTATTAAATAAGTTAACAAATAATAGATATGGAAATAAATCTATTGGTTGTTGATTCTTCATCTCTTTAAAGCCTTAAATACATAAAAACTAAAAATTAAAAAAGAAAATAAAATACTATCTTTTTTGGATCTTGTTTCTTTTGTAGCAAAGATTTACTATTCTTTATCTTAGTTTTGACAAATGTTGTCAATAAAAAGCTTAAACTTCTTTTGTTATATTTGCAAGTTTCTTTGTTAGCTCCCATGTGCATTTATTAATATCATATCCATGTCAATGAAGAAGATATTTCAACCTATTTTGGCATTGCTTTGAATTTAAGACTTCTTCTATCTTGAACTCTTGATTATTATTCACTTCTATAAGAAGAGGTAGCATTTGTCTTTTTCTGAGATATTCACAATTTTATATGGTTCAAAAAAAGACACTTGAAATATAGGATGAATCTTCATAGATTCTAGTAGATGTAATTGATAAGAAATAGAATTTATTTTTTTACAAATAAGAAATGGTCAAAGCCTATGATAATACAATTTTTTACAAATGCGGCTATTCTTGATACTGTAACAAAGTAATCATACTTTGTAGCCAATATGGAATTGAGATTGTTCCTTGCCATAAGCATCCGCATTGATCTTTGGTCATTCTTAAGCTTCTTTTAATTATACCTTGATTATTGTATGTAGCTCAGATAAATAATTTGTCAAATATTTTGCCATAGGATTATAAACTTTTGAGAAGTCAAAAGCATCAAGTTGTAGATGATAACCATAATTAATAAAAAAAGGTGTTTGTTGAATAGAAGAATATTTTGTATTATTATAAGCAAATTCTATCAATGGCAAAAGACTTGTCTTCATCTTGTTAGTAGGTCATAATACACCTTAAATATTGCTCCAAAACTTAGTTTATGCACTTCACTTGTCTATAAGTTTAAAGATAAAAGATGAAAGATAGCTTTATGTCTACCTTTGAAATCTTAAAAAAAAATCAAAATCAAAATCAAAAATCAAAAATCAAAAATCAAAATCTTGATACAAATTAAGTCCTCTTATCCAATATAATATCCTTATGCAATCTATAATTGCGATAGATGTTATTAAAGAAAAACTTAGTTGTTTCTTCATTAATAATAGATTTTATACATATTACAAAATATGACATTTTAGTAAAATGATCTACTACTTTGAATATAGAATCATATGAACCTAAGATTAGATGATTTGTAATAAAATCTATAGGAACAAAAGACCATGATTGAAGTAAAATTTATTTGTTTGAAATTTCTTTGTATTCTTTTATAACTTCTTTTAAATTTATGTTGAATTGGTCAAAGTTTGATTAGGATTACTAAGGTTTATTTAAAGTTTATTTGAAATTCTATTAGACTTATTAGGATTGTTGCTACATTTCTACTTACCTTCCACAATTAGGTGCCTAATACATTCTCAAGCAAGAACACATGTAATTTGACAACACATGATATATAAAGATAACTTGAGTAGAACAAAGAAGTTGAAGCATCTTTTAAAGTCTATAAGACATCATTTATTTCTGCATCAATCTTCTATTGTGTCAACTTTTCAAAGGCATTCTTTATGAAAACAAACGCATCAGATTTTGTTATGTATGTTGTTTTGTTACAAATGGAAGCAGATCACAAGCTCTACTTAGTAGCTTTTCATTCCAAGAAATTTTCAGCAGCCAAGATTAACTATGAAATCAATGATAAAGAGCTTCTTCGAATCGTGGATTCATTTTAAGAATGGCATCATTATTTAGAAGGTACTTCTAATCCAGTCACCATATATACGGATCACAAGAATCTTCAGTACTTCATGTCAACACATGTTTTGAACTGTTGCCAAATTTATTGGAGCATGTCTTTATTAAGATATGATTTTAAGATCACTTATTGATCCAAAAAAGAACAAGATTTGATGTACTTTCTAAACGTTCCTATCTTACAACAAAAGAAGGAGATGCAGCTTTTGGTCAACAAACAACAATTTTCTTGAAGCTAGAACAAATTCATCTTTGAGGAATAAAATCATCATTGATTGCAAAAGATTCAGCATTTTATTTGATGATTATGAATAATATATTGTATTAAAAAGTAAGCAACTTTCTATACATGAATATTGGTTGAATATTTCTCAATCTTATTGTCTTATCTAGAAAATTCACAATTACAAAACACTATGTGAAAACAAGTGATTTCACAACTTTTTTGAAATGAAATTTATGCATCAACATTGATTCATAAAGAAAATCATTAAAAAATCATTATAAACTAATTAATATATTTTTATGAAAGATGTTGATTTTTTTAAATGTATTCTAATTGATAACCTTGCTAAGATAATAATAATAATGTCCAATTGAAATTTGAAAACATATTTCTTTGAGCAATCAAAATTTTATCCTGTTATATATAATACAACTATGAGATTCAAGCTAAGGTGGTAAAATAATATAAATTAAGTGTATTTAACATTGTTTCCAAATTTACTTCTTGATACAATTCTAGTATTCGGGGCCTTGCATTATTTTTGGAACAACATGCTAAAAAACGCTTTTGATGTTTAATAATGAACAACACAATAATGAATCATAATGCTAACAATATAACAAAGAATCATATAATTATGTTTTTTTTTAAATCATACAATAAATTAACAAAACATGTAAAACATACAATCATGCAAATATGAAAAACATAATTTATATACATAATTTTAAAAAATCCATTTGTAATTATAATTTATTAATAAATAGATATACAAAGAGCAACTATGAAAATCTGGTGTTTTTGATTTGCAGTGTATCTTTAGATTTTGTGTCTATAAAGATTTACAACATTGTAAGAGAAGAAATAATCATCAAATATTCTATATCATGTCAGAAAAGATGAAACATTAGTATATAGCGATGCATTAGTATATATTATATATGCAACATATAGTTTCGTAATATAATTGTTTCCATGACAGCAATACAACTTAAATCCACACCCTACAAAATCATAAATAAAAGCCCTCCAACCGCTTGGCCTAACCATTACACAAAGACATCCACAAGCTCTTATTCTCACAATTGATTATGTATACTGAAGCATCAAGCAGACAAACAATTGCACGTAGCGCTACAGCAAAGAACATGTTTAGGTTTCAAGAAAATTTCCTAAGTTGTCTCTTGAGCATTGATTCCAGAAACTCCTTGCTTTCAAGTGGCTTCAGTGATAAAACTCCATGGTCATATTTTCTCATATCTAACAAAATCTTTCCAGCTTTCATAAAGAGGCTCTAGACAAACTTACATTCGTGAGCTCTTTTGTGCTCTTCTGGTGCAAGATCAGTTATAGCCTCGAAATCAGAAAGTATAGTTTCCTGAGGTTAACATCAAGAGTAACCCACATCTGGAAACTTTTTCTACTGAAATCTCCAACTTCTGGGATAGCTCTACCATAGAGATCCTGCACACCTTATGCTCTTTCAAAACAGGACCATAAGCTTCCACCAATTGCAACTGGGCGAAAGATTAGTACTGACCGCTTGAAAATGAAATGCTTCATTCTCTTTCCCTGTGCAATGAAGCAACGTAAGAGACTTTTGATGTGTTAGATATTTAACAACTCTTTACACCATCTTTAAATTGTTCAGGATCTAAGCAATTGGTGTGCTGTATTCGATGACAGCACCCACTAAGTTTTCTAGAACAACGTTGAAGGATTAGTGTGACTTGGGTCGTTGATCTCTATCGATGAGTAGGGGACACATTGCAATTGAAAGCTCATATCCCATCTGGCGAGACAACGAAGGATTTGAGGAAAGAAACACAAACTAATTTGAACAGCTTTCTGTGACAAGTCACTGCAGTCTGATAGTTCAAACATTCTCTAGGCCTCCAACATCATGCAATCGAGAGCTTGTTCGATCACGACTTGTGCCCCAGATTTGCATGCAACGTGCCAAAACATAATTTTGTTGACGTCAATTGAAACAGGTCGATATAAAGGTTAAAACAAATATTGCCATCAAAGCAAAGAATCGAAATCTTACTAAGCCAGGCTCAGACTCTAACAGTTACGAATCTACAGTTAGCTTATCAATAGTAGTGAAGAGCTCATAAAAGGCCTTAAAGTGTCGATAGGAGAGGTCTACATCCTCAGTTCCGCACATTTCTCGTACGCTGCAAGTACACCAACACGAAGTGAGTTACAATGTTCGATTTAACCTCGTCCGAATCAAACTCCCTTCTCGAAAGTGCGTAAGCACAATTAACAATATCAACCACAGCAAAGGGTACTTTTCATACATTTCCAATGAAGGAATCCCAGCTGGACTATACAACGATTAGCAATTTCAGTTGTTTGACGTTGTAACAGCATTCTTTATGCAACATATCCTTAGACCCCTAAATGCCATGAAGTTGTAGCGAGACCCATTGAAGTTCTAGGACAACCCTTCAAAAAACTATATTCTATTTTGGAGATAGTTTCTTGACATCCGACCATAAGATCTTGTTAAAGATCTCGATGTAAATTTCTAAGGCTGAGAATTTCAAACGGTATACTTTAGCGTATATATATTTTTTCAGGGCAAAACGTGAGTTGTTAAAGGATTAAACAAAATAACTAAATTCAATAACACCACAACAATATGAACAGTGACAGAAAGTCCATGGACTACTGAACCATGTATTTGTCTAACTCCCAAACAAATACATCAAATACGTAGTTTTTTTCCGGGTTAAATCAAATATATAGAGCATACCTGTGCATGGATAATTGAGGCATGCCAACGTCCACCGTCCGAATGCCAATACCAGAAGCAAGAATTGGGCCAATTGTGGACCCACAACCCATATCATTACGTACCACAAAATTCTGCATCAAGAAACAAAGACGAGGAATGAGAATTCAATCACTACGACGGTGTTTGCGTTACCTCTAAATGCCACAGAACAATAGTTCTGCTGATGCTTTGAACCTCTGAAGGTAATACTCAAAAGAGAAGAAACTAAAGTCTCGTACATCTATAATTTTATGCTTTCCGTGCCATAATATATTCAGCAACTTCTAAAACCGTAGCAATAGGTTTGGCGAAAAAACAAAACAAAGAAGCCGTAGTATGATGATCACAATACTGTAGTACCTGTGTTGGCACACCAGCAACCTTTGCCACTTCTTTGAAGAGAAAAGCCGTCACAGTGTTGGTGGCATATCGCTGATTAGCATTATATTTGATCACAAGACCCTCATGGAGTTTGGGCTGATGGTTTTCTTCATGTCTATCAGCATAATTTGGGTGCAGAGCATGCGCCATATCGGCTGACACTGTCAACATACAGGTACATACCGCGTCTTAAAAACACATCATCTCAATGCAAATAATACCGACGTAATATGGGTTTGGCGAAAAGACAAGTGCTGAGTGGAACTTGACATGGAAGGAGTAACTTGTAATCAACTCAATGGCCTATTTAAAGGAAAATTCAGCACAAGTTTCCAACAGAATATGTACACAAGACTCAGAAATTGACGTAGTGATCCGCAGGCAAATGAACAATAGCTCCTAAAATTTCCAAGTTCGCTGATGTCTTACCAAGAAACGACTTTCGAATAGTACGCTCTTCAATGCCCTCAGTAGGAGTGTCCCTCGTGAGCCACTTCGTGATGCGACTCATGGCTTGAAACATCACAGGTGATCCCGCCCCTTGAGCTGAATCTGACCCTACCTACGTTGGATTAACGGTAAAGGTGAATCATTAACGATGTACAAATTTGAAAATCCTTGAGTAACAGATAAATAAGGAGCTGAAAAATAAAAATAAAAATAAACTTATATGCCATGATTCATATGCCACATGGTAATGAGAAACACCAAGGTAATAAAACGAGGGCCATACAATGAAGATTACCTCTTCATTGTCGAACAAAGCAATTGCTCTAATACAGCTCTCATCAGCCAAAGAGGCTGAATCCGGACACGTATCCAGAAGGGCTCGCAATGCACAGTATGACGATGCTAGATTGTCAAGCCTGCCTGAGAAGATGAACTCTTTTCGAGCTCCACCAACGCAACTCGGTTGGGTGTCACAAACATTCAACTCAAAGTCCACTATCTCCTCTACCGAGCAGTTCAATTGCTCTGCAAGGACCTGCAAGGTTAAAAATTCTGGGTAGTCATGTCTAATAGAATACCTGTAATACTGGCTGCATCAACTTGAGAAACAAAATCCTGCATCCACAATGGGATGCTCTATTTTTGGCATTCAACAAAACCTCATTTTCAATAGCTCAGAAATGACTCGAAATCACAGCGCTTAAAAGGAAGTTGGTTATGCGAGCGACCTCCAAAAGCAATGAATGATGAGGTTTCTTTGAGGAGTTAATGGCTCCATTGCCACCTTCAGACTGGCCTCCCGTCTCAGATTTGCCAAGAAGTTCGGCCTTGATCTGGGTTGCTAGCACTGGAGCTAAATGAGTCTCTAAGTTTGGTTTGAAGCCGTCTGTGTTCACGGTCCTGAAATAATTGTACTATCAATATCAGATGGGCAACTCTCACTGCTCGGAAACTGATTTTTCTCCAAGCGCGGATGTGTTGATCCTTCCACTTCCTTTAGAAGATCAATCTAAAAAGGATTTTGTGAATAGCCAAAGATGGATAAATTGTATTGCACATCGTAGTGATAATATGAACAAGTTTTGCTGAAGAGAAGTTATGGTAATTCGAAGACAAAAGAAACATACCTATCAAGGTGAATAGCCAAAGTGGGTATGCGCATGATTGGACGGTCAACCTTTATCAACCCTTGCACTATAGTCCCGTTTTTTTTTCTCAAAAGCACACGCCCAGCGACACTCAAGTCTCGATCAAACCAAGTATGCCACAGTCCGCCGCCATAAGTTTGCACACCCACATTTAAAAATCCTGCCTTTGAAGCTGCTGATACAGGCTTAAGTTTAGGACAAGGGCTGTCTGTATGTGCTGCCACTATGTTAAAGCCATTGCCAGCTTCATACCTGTGTTGCACATAAACAAGACAGGTCCAACAAGAAAACAACAATTGATAAATACTAAAATATGACATAAGGATTTGGAGTAACCGTTGCACTGTGCTACTAAATTTGCGGGATACTACTTCCGAGTTCACAAAGATCACAATAACTGATCCACAAGAAGTGAAATGTGACTACAAGCTTACTTTTGTCCAATGGCAAATGCAAAGATGGAGGACATGTTCCGAGTGAAGAAGTAGCGGCCACCGGGCTGCACTGTCCACTCCTGTTCCTCGTTCAATTGCTGAAATCCCGCTTTCAGCAATTGCCGCTTTGCCTCCGCTAAAAATGTTCAAATTTAGAAAGTTACACCTCATACGTTGAAGCTAGAGACTGGACGAAATATCTTCAAACCATGTAGTGAAGAACATTTCTGTTCTGAGTGTAAATTGACAGGAGAATCAACAAACTCTAGTCGGATCCCTCTCTTAATCGCTCGCACCCAACGCTGAACTTGTTAACTACTCTTTGCAACTCATCATGAAAAACCCAACCCTGACATCAGCATGGCACACTCATTGCGAATTGCTGCATGTTTCAACACAAGCGAGAAGACTGATTCACCTGTTGCATGAAAAGGTGTCCATGATTCGTTTAGAAAGTTCAACATATCCGTAACAATGGAGACATCACGGCTAACTTCCTGCTCACGATTCACAGTGAAGATTAGGTTACAAAATCATTTTATAAATAAGAACATGTTGTGACATTAACAAGAGCAATTCGAAGCAATAATTACTGGAGGTTGAACTACCAGTTCATACAAAATCAAGCTGAGTTGACAACACGTGCGGTCCTTTTTTGGATAAAAGCATTCTGGGTAAGAAGAGATATTTTGATATGTGAACCTACGTACGATGCTCATTTATCATGGCTCCCTTATCTCATGAGATTCCACCTTTCCTAGAACTTGGAAAAAATCCTTCTTCTCCCACAACTATCCATAAATGCAGGGTCTTGACAGAGCCGGCGAACACAAAGGACATGTCAACCCTAAGTCTTAATCGTGCAATTCTGAATACGATAGCACCTGCACCCTAAAGTTTCAAGAAGCGAAGCAAGAGCAAGAATACCTTGTCCAAGAAAACATCTTGAGTACTGGAAGCCGCACTGCATACTCCCAAAGATCTAGAAGAATAATTACCATCACTTGTAATCTTGCTCTGCCACTGCGACTTTGCATCTTGTATAGCAAACCTAGACGACCAATTATTGCCACAAGCTCGTCTGCTCAAAAGTATTCGGTGAGGGCTCGCACGCCAGGCATTTATTATCAACCTCCTTCCATTCTTCGAAGATAGGCACTCCTTGTGTCTGCCTGCGGACGAAAACCTAGCACCGTGTCCAATTTCGACAGTATATGCCATTAACGCTGCGCTACTGAGATTTCTGCACGCCATTGAAAATTCCAAAGATTTTTGTAATGGAGAACTCGCTCAAACGAACGACGTGCTCAACGAAGGCCTGGTTGAGGTAAGCAAAGTAGAAGCGTAATTCACAGCTTCCATGATTAGGAAGCACAAAGCTCGAAGAGTCTCAGATTCCGCGAGTTATCAACCACATTAAGAACAGAAATCTGCAAGCAGGTGAACGTAGGTTACCGAAAACAGGGCAGGGCAGAATAAGTCGACAAATCCATGTGATAACCAGTACAATTCCACAACTGACAGACCATTACTGCCAACCTGAAGCAAACAGAATCCAAAAATTTAGACTTACCATGGAAAGCATAAACAAATAATTAAGTAGACATTAACGATGTTCCCAGTCCCAACGTCTCAAAGACTGTCACAAGTCCAAGACCTTGTTGGAGCAAAAGGAAAATCCTAATTCTCACTGAAAATTCTGACCCCCCGTGAAGAGCGTTAAACAATTGGGGTCCGCAGAAGAAGGGATTGACAGGGAGCTAAACAAGGTAGACCAGAGAGTAGAGTCGATCTGTGGATGGGGAAAACAAATCGACGACGATTCTCTTGCAACTATGAACGAACATGGATCATAAGTCGTCGCTATTTTCAATACTGGCCCTGGATTACTATCGGCTGTCGACAGATAAGGAAGGCTCCTGTTCTCGTTGCTCATCAAGAGGAAGCGCTGAGATGCAGTGCTTGAGGTCACCGAGGATCTTATTTGCCCTATTCCAAGTTTAGAATCCCTTTCGTTCTTTTTGCATTTTTTACTCTTTCTGTCGCTTTCTTTCTTTCATCTCTTATCTCCTTCTTCTTCGAAATAAAATAAAATAAAATAATTTACTTATTTCACCTGCAACCCATTCAATTGTTTACCCTTGAGCATTTCATCACTCAAATAACCTAAACATAGTATTAGCTACATGGGAATTTATGTATGGGTCGGGAGGAACGGGTGGTGGATCAAGAAAGTCATACTATTCAACAACGGACTTGCTTAAAATCAAACCCTTATCCTCTATACCACGAATTTCTTGCCATCTTTATAATGTACGAACGAGAATCGAAACAGCTTCAGAATCCAACTTGATACTAAAGTTGATAATAATCGATCACCGAGTGGGATATTCAGCATGGCGGAAGTTCTGGAAATCGAATGATGGTTGTCCAGTGTGGAGATTCCCGATCATTGGCAGCATTCCTTGTCCATAGCAGAACATCAGACCAAGAAGAAACAGCATGGTTGGGTGTTCAAGTATTTGTCGGAAAATGCTCGGGATTTCTCAAAAACTCTCCAGGAAATGAAGCAACCCAGGGGCAGTTGCCAAAAAAGTTTTTCCCCCTCGCTCTTCTAATGGCTAGAGTCAGCGATTGGCAGCATATCCTAAGCAATTCTATGAGATTCTTCAGATATCCACTCACGGACCGCCACATCCAATGCTATTTCGATGTATGTGGCTCGTGTGTTACACAAGCCTTAACGCAAGGACTGAGCTCACCGAAACAAAACTCTTCCCAAAATCTTTTTTCACCCGGATTGCTTCTACACCTCACAAGCTACCATATGTTCCTCACCTCCCAGTGACTGCACAAAGAAACCCACTAATACTCCATTTACAGCGGTTAATAATAATTTTGCTGTCATCCGCTGCTCAAAGTCCAAGCATCTCAAGCTGCAGTACTGAGAAAACCAGCCACCGCCTCAAGCTTGTGTTCCCTCTCGTCAACATTGTTGAACGAGGATGTACTTGCTGTGCCATTGTATTTGGGACTCATGCCAATCACAGCAACGGACGAGATCCAAACAAGATCAAAGAACGCAACTGGCAAAAACAAAACGAAAAAAAAGGATCGAAAAACAATGAGCTTGTGCTTGGCTTTCAGTTGTGAGAGCTCACACCTCAAGACTCGTCATGCGTCTCGGTGGTCATGTCTTACTTCTCAGTCCAGACACAGCCACTGATTATTTTAGACGACTATATCTTTTTATATAATAATAAGGAAGCTTAGATAAGAGACAAAGAAGTCTTCTCCTTTGCCAAAATCATTGCAATAACCACTATGTCAGAAAGCACTCCAATTTATTATTTATTAAAAACTTATATGTGTCCAATAGCACTAGTTTTTTGTCAAAATATATAAAATAGTTTAAGTATAATGTAAAGACATAAAGAGGTCTTCTCATTTGTCAAACATGTTGATATTGGCTTGTATTTTGTTAAATAATACTACCTTTGTGGGATTTGGGGTATGAATCACTAGTGACAAGTGAATAGAAATTTCAAAATATAGAATTGAGTTTAGGGTTTCTGGTTTGGGGGCCCATGAGGTATAGTCTTACGTAGACTTAGAGTCAAATGTCAACATGTAGGGTAAATTTTGCAATGCAAAAGTGTGCTCTATATGAGCATATTGTACCCTAGGTGTAGCATTAGTAAAGCATTGAGTTAAAGATTTAATCTATGGATAAGGCTTTTAAGTAAGTAAATATACTACTTATTGTATTTTTCTACATTTGATTTCTAGTTGCTATCTTTGTCATTGTTAATATGCAATTTGTTTTTTGTAACAAAATATGGATAAATAAGGAAATGAATATATGGTAGTGCAAGAGATTGTGATGTCAAAGCTAGAGTGTTAGGAGTAAGATATGAAGAACCATCACTTTATTGGACAAACATGTTTGCATGTGGAGGAGTTGCACTACAACATTTATTTAGTGGCATTGTATTCCAAATATAGGGTTGTGCATGCCTCAAAGTTTCTTTAGCACTTCTAGTAGAGAAATTTAGAAGTAGAGTTTATGTATCTGTTATTGTGCAACTTTCAAACAAAAGTTATAATAATGCATGCATTATACACAATCTAGATAGAGCATCTGGAAAGAAAAATAAAAGTGTTGAGTGGATTTTTATAGCTTTTTTGCTAATATATGTATATATATATATATATATATATTCATTCAAATATACCACTTTATTTGATATCACTTGGTTAATATTTCTCTCTTCCTTATTAATATTTGTTGAAATAGAGGTTGTTTCTAAATAACAGACTTAGATCACTTAAATAATATTTATTATATAATTTATGAAATTTCTATTTACCAAGATGATAAATTAAGTGGAGTATATGTGTAAATATAAGCATATACTAGTACAATTAAATAAGAATGTAAATTGGATTCATATAGTTCTTTGATACTCTTGATGGTAAAAAAATTCATTGCTATAAGTATGAAATATAATATATTATTTATGCTTATCAAAATCAATATGATTGATATACTTTATTTTATTTATAGAAAATAATAAATCAACATATGAATTATGTTTATTTAAACCTTAAATATCAAAAAATAAAATAAAGAAACATATCAATCAGTTAATAGTGAGATATTAACATTACCTATTTCAATTAGGTTAAAAGATATTGTTGTTTCCTATCAAAACCTTGTATATAAGAAAAAAATATGATTACATTAAGTTAATCAAATTTATCAATATTTAATTGAAAATATATATTGTGTGTGTGTATATATATATATATATATATATATATAGTGTCAAAAATATGATGCTTTGAAAGATTTGATAGTATTTTTTTGAATAGAGTCAATATATTATAATTAACTACCAATTTTTTATAATTACATGCACACAAATAATTTTACTAGTTTAGTTTATAATTGCATGTGCACAAACACATACATACATTAATAAGCAAATAAATAAATAATAATCCTTCAAATTGTGTAAGAATTAATATAAGAGTAACTGTGCTTAAATACGGATTTTAATTAACACCTTATGATTGAACAGTTTAGATATTCAAATCAAACATGTGCATATAAATTCTCTAATTTATGAATTTAGTGAACAAAGAATCAAAGATAGATAAAATAAAAATACAAATTCTCTATTAAAATAATTTATGATTTATTGAATAGAATATAATTCTAAAAAAATTAAAAGGAAACCTCCAGAAAAATCTACCAACTTAGAAACAACAAGAATCCAAGAATATTTATCCAAATGGAAAATAAAGCTGGATGTTCAAGTTATAATTTTGAAATATAAAGTTCCACGTTTTCAATTGTGTTCATTCAAAATGGTGATCTTTGCTGTTAGAAAAAAAAAAAAAAAAAAAAAAAAAAAAAACTCATGAACTTGATCTAAATAGCTTTCATATATATATATATATATATATATATATATATACATACATAAACACTAATGTGCAATTTTTTGTAATAATATAAAGGAGAATTGGTAGGACACTATGGGATTGACTTTTTCAACGTTGCAAAAGATTCAAAAGACAAATAGTTTAAAGAAAAGTCCATATCTTCTTCGCCGTTTTCTTCCATTTAGTATATACAACAATTTAAATCACAAGTTCCATTGTAGAGATTGACCCACACTATGTTTAAAATGGCACTTTTCAAAACAGGTACCAAAAAGAAAAAGTGAGCCATGAGATATTTCATTGTACCATTGTAAGGGATATGTAAAGTTGTGGTATCATTTATATAGTAATCCGAATACTTTTTCAATCTTTCAGATAGAAAAATAAATAAATAAACAGCATCACATTTGTGCATGTATCACGCTTTTAAAAGCAATGTATCCAGCAAAAAGTAGCTTTGAGCAAATGCTAAAGACATTGTACTTTAAACAAATAATTAAGTAAAGCTTACTGCTGTCTCTAGTCGTTACAAAGCAACTCTCTTGTGAAGATTGTAAGATTCCATATATATAAATATATATTTATATATATAAATTGATGTTATCCAAATGAGGATTGTAGATCTCTACTTCTACAACACAAACAAAATAAAAAATCCAAAATCTTGTGAACTAAACTTTTAAAAACGGGATCACAGTACATAATATACTGTAGAATATACAACTTTGAATTGGAAATGAATATTTAAAGTAGATTGTGTCGAGATACAACAGTGGAAGATATACCTGAATGAAAATTTTATTATATATATATATAATAATTTAAACTTATATCCATTAAATATAACAGAAAGTATTATATTTCCACAGCAACTTAAATCTCAATCAAGGATGAATCTTCAATGTGTTAAGAAAGATGATTTTCTTGCATGTACAATTGCATGCCCAATCAAGAATATGTGATAAAAAAATATAATTTCACTGCGTTGAAATTGTAAAAAAAAAAAAAAAAAAAAAAAAAACTAGCATTGCAATAACTGTCAGTATTTCTATTATTATATCAGGCAAGAAAAGTATATGAAAAATATAGTAAAAGTAACACACAAAGGATGCAGAAGTAAAATATCAACAAAATATTAATAACATTGTAATAACTGAAAAAAAAAAATGGATGTGAATTAAAATTACAATACAGAGCTGTTTGTAAAAGCTATTTGAAAAAATGCATAGGAATCATTGCAATCCATTATTTGTATTATGGTCATAACCTCATCAGTTTACAAATAACACTTCTGAATTGCAATATTTTCACACACATGCTTTACAGAAAGTAAATTTAATCAATGTATGAGTACAGTTCAAAATCAGTATGAGTTCAAAATCACATAATAAGTTGAACACTTTGATATTTAAGTTGAGTTTCAGAAATGGTATAAATTTGTTGTCAATGCCACTACTCTTGATGTGCATCCACACACACACACACACACACATATATATATATATATATATATTTGTAATGCTCAACATTAGAAATATCAACATGGAAAAAAGCATCATTCATGTTGGAAAGAGTAACAACCATTTTTGTAAAGATGTGCACATCACTACAAATCTTGTGTGAGAACTTTGGAGTTGCAAAGAGGATGACGAAGGAAAAGACAAGCATCCTCAGATCTTTCCAAGCATGTGAAAGCCACATTGATTTTACAACACCCAAAATGAAATTGGAAAGAAGATTTAGAAGAAATAAAGTAAGGGGAAGTAAAAAGATATGACAAGGGAAAAGTGGGGTTATAGAATGATAAATGCAGCAAAGAAAATCTGGGTTTGCAACAAAGTGCGTCTTCACCTTCAAAATAGCAAAGTGGGTGTGGCTACCCCCACTCTTGGCCCATGAGTCATGACCCTAAAGGGCTGCATGGACCTTGGCTACCATAGCAAAATACAATTGATGCAATTTTTAAATAAATTATAAAAAAAAATTAGACAACAAAGAGTGAAAAGAATATAAGGCACTGTCACCAATGTGTTGTTTACATTGATCTCACTGATTTGATGGATGAGCTCTCTCCATGGCCCTCATGGAACAACCCTCGCCAACTGTGCACCCAAATTAGTGTGTGTGTCCAAATTAGTATGTGTGTCCACAGTCATTTCTGTTTCTGATTAGCATGTGAGCCATGAGGACAAATTATTATAGTTATTGCAAATGCTTTTTTCTTTTTTATGAGATTAGTGGTATTTTGTAAATGGGATAACAACACTTGCCAAAATCGTTATTTGGGTGAATAGTTTTTTAGATGTAAAGAAAGAGAGGAAAAAGTAGTGGGAAAAAAAATACCCTGTATATTCTGTTTGATTACTTTATTTAGGGGATTGTATTTAGCAGTTTGCAAATGAAAGTTTTCAGTTGTTTAGTTATATGATGCTACTTTAAATATTCATCAAAATCTTATAGTAATCCTGCTTCCCCTGTCCATTAACTTAATATGGAAGCTACAAGTAGCAGAAATTCCGTTTAATTTAATAGTACTTGAATTATTTATTTATAGGTAACCATTATTTCTAAATAATACAAGTACTTGTACTATCATTCCATGCTTTAAATTTTTTTTGATGGTGATAATTATTTACATAAATATGTAGAAATATAAAATAAAGAAAATGATCTAAGGTTGTATGTAACTGTTTTCTCCAATGTGATGGGTTTTCTTAAATATGTTTATGCCAAAATAATTTATTTGAATTGAATTTAAGAATATATATATATATATATATATATTTCGCATTGAAATATGATAAAGATTGCAACAAGAGTACAAAAAGGAGCATAAAACCCAAAATGATACAAATGATTTTTAGTATTTAAACTTTACATTTTACATGCATCTCATTCATAAATAAAGTTATAAACTAACTTGAAAAATAGTTCCAACTTTATAACATGATTCATGTCTACAAGGAAACAATTAATTGTGATAAAATCACCAAAGTTTTGCTCATAACCTCTAAAAACACATTCAAAATTGTAGACATTAATCCCAACATCAAACGAAAATGTCAAAGTTGACCTTCCATCAATCAGTACAAAAAGATCTAGTTCAAGGAAAGAGAAATAAAAAAGTGGAAGAAAAAAAGGAAAAGTTTCACATGTTTTTCCTGTCCCAGAGAATGAAATATCTTTTAACAACAATGTTTCAAGCTTTTCCTAAACAATGTCATTAATCTGAGAGACAAGACATTCTCAATCGCCATTAAGCATGATTAGGCACACCCATAAGCATGATTAGTCACTCCCATAAGAGGCAACGGCACCTAAAAGAGAAGGAAGGAAGGGGAACGGGGAGGGGAACGAAGTAGGGACGGATATGAACGAGAAGTGACGACAGCCGGGGTCTGGCCATGAGAATGGACGTACGTCCAAGTCCGACGGACGGAGTGGTCGAATGGCAGTCCTCTCCGAGCCCTCTTCCTGCCACGTAGACGCACGCAATCCATTCCGAGATACCTTCTTCCTCCTTCGCGTTCCCATTGGACGTTCCCACCCTCTAGCAATGCGGCTGCCTATCACGCCACGCGCGGGAGAGAAAGGTGGGGGGGGGGGAGGGACCAGGGGAATACAGGGGAACAACGAACCCGAAGGAGCGAAGAAGTGAAAAGGGCCAGGAGCCCCATGCTGGGCCGGGCCGGGCAGGGGAAGGGAGGGGGGAAGGGATCGAGTGGAAGGGGATCGGGCTCATCCAACCCGTCTCGCACCCCGTCGTGCCGTGCAGATACAACTCGAAACCAAGCATGCCCCCTCAGTTGCGGATATGTCCTCCACTCTCTCTGTTGCATCGATGCTACTGATCCCCCCCTCCCCTTGCACGGCTGCACTCCTTCCTTTCCCACCTCTCCTCGGCACCTGCCATGCCATGCCCCTCCCTCCTCTTCACCCAGCTAAAATCTCAGTGCCCACTCTCCCATGTACAGTTGTCTCTGCGGCTTTCAACACTGTGCTACCGATTCTTCTCTGAAACAAACAAGCGGTGTCATTGGTTTTACGGTGAAGTCGCTCGCAATTAGGATTTCATCACAGGGAGATGGTGCTGAGATTCTCGTGAGTGGTAGAGATCACACGGGATTTGGGAAAGGGCTTAAGAGCTATGCTTGGCGAACTTGGGTAACGAGGAGACCTGGTATTTGTGGTCTACGCAACCGAGCGCCTCAGTCGGCTAGCGGGTGGCGATGTGAGTGTTCTGGGAGAGAGAGAGACAGCGCGGATGTGGTTCGATGTGAAGGAGGTAGGGGGAATGAGGGCCGTGCGCGTGGTGAGGAAGGTGGTTGATTTGAGCAGGGTGAGGTCGTGGAGGCATGGGGTGTAGAAGGGTTTGGTCGTTCTGAATCGGGTGTGGATGGAATGGTTGGTTTCTGCTGCTGCCGCGGCGAGTTGTCGCGGTTGTGTGTGCGGTGCCCTGTAATGTAGGGTGTGAGGATTTGGTGGCGTGAAGGACAGTAGTTAATGCCAGCTGCGGTTTGTGTGTGAGGGTTGACGTCCGGCAGTACTGGTTATGGACTGGTGCAGGGAGCAGGAGGCGGGAGCTTTGATCGACGCAGTGGCTGTGGAACAGGTTGTGGTGGTGGTGGGAGGTCTCGATCTCGGTCTCGCGCGAGGTGGGAAGCGCCAGAGACCTGTCAGCGATGAGGATTGAGATCAGGTCTTCGGCAAGCTGGTGAAAGGGTTGTAGTCGGCAGGTGTGAGGTCGCCGGTATTGGTGGCGGCAAGTGTGGAGCGGGGTGGGGCAGTAAGCGCTCCGCGTGAGCGGCTTAGAATGCATCGAGGGCGGCGGCGGTGGCGATTGCGGCGGTAGCAGGTGCGAGGGGCGTTGGCATACGCGAAGTGGCTCTGGAAGGGAGGAGTGAGAGTGGGGAGTGAAATTGGGATGCTGTATGGTGGCGGAGCATGCGCGAGGGAGCGGAGTAGCGAGAAGAGGGACAAGTGGGTGGGTCTGAGAAGGTAGGAATTAGGAGTTTTGGGGCGTCCGAGAATGGCGGCGTGCACAATAGTGTGGTTCAGACGCGATCTTCGGCTGGAGGACAATCCCGCGCTGATTGCTGCTGCTAGGGCGGGGACGGTGGTGCCAGTGTTCGTGTGGTCTCCTGCGGAAGACGGTCAGTTCCATCCGGGGCGCGTGTCGAGATGGAGTCTTTATAGCATGCAA